TTCAAAGCACCATTTGAGTAAAGTTAGAAGCATATTTGTAATATTTTGTAATTAAGTACTGTCCTGAAAATTGAAGGTTTGCATACAGTTTTTTGTAATCGTATAATTTTGATTAATTGAAAAAACTAAATCTACTTGAGCAACAATTTGGTCTTCTATTTTCAAAAAACTATTTTTTGAATTTATTCAAATTACTAAAATATGTTCTAGTGACAGAGCTAGTTGCGGGATGATAACGTTTGGAAACATTAAACTGTATCAAATTTCTCTACAGTGCAATTTTATTTTTGCCATATTTTTTAAATAATTTGTAAAAATTTAATTTAATAAATTTAAATGATTGCTAGACGCAAATATTCTGAAATTTTAAGTAAACTTTTCGATTAAAAAAGACAGTATACAATCATTTGATAGCAAATTTCAGAAATACAGTACAGTTTTGTTAATATTCTAAATTTTTGTATGAAAAATTATTCATGTAATTTTATCACTAATTTTTCATCGAATCTCTGTCATAATTATATATATCGAATCTCTTTACTTGTTTGTTTTATCACAACAAAATTTTCTGCTAGTCATCAAATAAAAAAGTCTTCAAAAACATACTAACACTGAAGACAAATGTAAATGAATAAAATGAAGCAGCAGTGATTTTGAACAACAAATGTATCATTCATAAGCAGAAGATTATTTGTAAACTTGGAATATCCTGAATTGAAGAGAAAAAAACCATTTCAAATAATAATCTTCAAGCACTAAACTAATAAATTGTGCAGGATAGTGTTTACATATGCATTTGACTTTATTATACTGTCTCTCATGTCCATTTTGTATTGAAAAACCATAAAATAAGTTTTGGTGAATAGTTTTATCCAAGTTTTTTTTAGTACTTTATTTGATGAACTATTAAAAATTTATTAGTCAAAAACAGCTCAAATATTTAACATGTCTGCTACAGTTTTTATCAAATTTTTTCATTAAAAACAATTTTAGAGAATGCATAATTTTTTTCACTTAAATGTGATCTGATAACTGCTCATCAGGGATGAAGAGCTTTATATCAGATATGTATGAGATGGTTCATAATTTTTCATTGCATAATACTAAATTATAGACGAAAAATTGTTCACATAAGACTGCGAAATATTTATGACTTGATTTTATGACTTTTCAATGTACAAAGCAGATTGAATAACAAATATAAAAGTAAAAATACACGCATAGTTTACATATAATATATAAATTGCTTGCACTAAACAAGTTAGCCCTTAACTGATAGCATTTAGTTCTTAGATTCAAGCTTGTTCAGAACATGCCTAAGTGAATATTTCCACCTCCAATTGATTCAAATTCAATTTTACCTGACATTCACAGTTCTTTTAATCCAGCTTGAAGACTGTGCTCAGTCTTCAAGCTGGTTTAATAATTTAAGACTAGCAGAAACATTGTAATCAGTAATAATTTATAATATTACTGCAGGAAGTAATGATTTTATTGTTTTCCATCATTTTAATAATATCTGGCACTAATGGCATGTTTTTTGAACGCAAACAGTGTGTTGGTGTAAAAGGAAGACTTACTTGTCACGGAGCGCCATATACAAATACATGTCTGATATTATTCGATATCGACTTCCGTTCGTTTTAAATATTAGCAATAAGATTTCTGTTTAATACTATGGTCATTTAACATAAAAAGAATCATACATAACATTGATAAATTGGTGCTAAAAAAGTTAACAATTTTACATAACTTTGAAAATTTCTATTATTAAAAAAATCAATTTCTAATATTTAAAAAATTGATTAAATGTTATTAATTTTCAGAAAAATAATTGATAATATAAATTTAAAAAAATTAGCGCTACTTATAGGTTTAAATTTAAGACGGCTGAAATGAAAGTTTTTTCAATTTTCAAATTAAATTTTACTTTGCAGCTACAAAGTAGTTAAAATAGATAAAATTTAGTCCTTAATGCAGGTGAAATATTTTAAACAATCTAATAAAACATTTAGAAAATAATAAATTATAGCATGAATAATTAGTTTACTTTTACAGATGGAATATTTTTCGATTATGATGATGTTATGGCGGAAAGTAAATCAAATGCAACTGGTCACTTCAGTTTCTTCGGCTGTACCAACGAAATATCAGATATCACTCCTCAACTTAATATCCTGCATAAATGTGGTGACGAATCAAAAGTAAATGATTACGTTCTTGCATTTGCAAATTTCAAATTTCAAAAAGCGACGAAAATATAACTGTTGATGAGCATTCTGAAAATTTACTGATCGCAGGGATCTACAGACGGAGTGATTATCTGCTAGTTTCACATTAAAGCTTAGACTTGTTTTGGTTTAAAATTCGTTCACTATTAATTGAACTAAATAAGAAATATTAATATTTGATTTTCAAATTAACAACGTAAGTCTAAGTCTTTCTAACATCTGACATCCGTACAGATTATTTATTTCAGATTTGTATGCTGAACTTGCAGAAATGGATACCTTATAGTTATGTGACTGTCGAAAAAAAACCGACAACTTATTACGATTTGCACAAAGTTGAACTGTCTCTAGAAAACATATTTCAGTACCAGGATTGCTTAACAACATTTCTACCATAATATAATTGCGGGGGATAAGCTCCCAGACTTACTTCATTCATAAATAAATTGTATCAATCAATGCCTGAATGAAGTGCTCAATAAAAATACTTAATACGACAGAAAAAGTCACTAGTTGAAATGAGATGTAATAAAGGAATAAGAAAGCAAACTTCATGCATTCGTTATGGTTGAAAAAATCAAAAAATATTTAATATGAAATATGACAACTTCATTCAAATATAGAATTAAAGTAATGCATTACTTTCATTATATTATTACTCGGTAACAATCAGTAAACCATTTCAGCGTATTACTGTTAGGATACATTTTTGCTAAAACAGACATTTACACGCTTACTGAAAATAGCAATGACAGATATATTCTTTATGATTAAATATTGTAGATCGGATAAATTATGAAAAGAAGACATGAATGGAATAGAATATTATAACATTACTTGTTATTTGGTCCATAAAATATTTCATACTCCCTATTAATCTTTTTACTTTTTAAACTCTCCTTAATAAACATTTTCTATCCTAATCCTTCAGTACTCATTCTCTCCCCAGCAATTATATTTCCAACTGAATACACATTTACTCTCTTTCACATACATTTCCTACTTTATAACTGAGGCAATTATTGCACACTGTCACTCACAAAGAATTCATATTTCAGGATTCCGGACAAAAGTAGTTATCAATATTTACTAACTTACGTGTAAAATATGAGCGATAGCTTATTTCCGTGGGCGAATGCTTGCTTTCCGCTGCTTTACTTGCTTTGGAAACTTCAAGATTTTTAGCTAAGCATCAAAGCATAATTGAATATAAGCCAAAAAACTTTTTAGTCATTCAAAAACAATTAAAACTTCAAAGTGGCGTTTCGAAGACTGATATAATCTCGTGTAAATATTCCACACTTACTTTTATTCTACAACTGTTATGCTTATAAATTTTATTACAACGTTGATTCTGAATTGTGTGTCATTGAATGCAATCATTATACATAGTGAAGAAAACCAATCACGCTAAAGAAATGCGAAACAATCAGTTCTGAAGCTTACCATATCGTTGAAGTACTCACATTTCTTGCAAATTTTCATGACAGTATTTGGATTCTAGGTAGCAAAGTTAAAAATTGATATACTGTGCAATCAAACTTCCTGCACAATATAGATTCTTCACTTGCAAGAGTTACCATTTTCAATATAACTTACGGTTGTTTTTTACGAAGGTATCATAACTGGAAACAAATAGTTCAAATAGTTAACCATATCCAGTTGAAGCATTTTTTCTAGAATCATTTGTAAAGAAAAAAGGTGCTGGCAAGCAATTGCTTCATGATTCTGATAAAATGCGTTCTACAAGTTCGATAATATTCTCTTCAGAAACATTTTCTCTCACATTCCTTCAATATCATATTCTTTCTTCAACAATATTTGATAAATGCATTTACTGATAGCCATTTCTGTTTCAATGCCACAATTAAATCACTGATAAAATTGATGTCAACAAATTCAGTCTGCAATAGACACCAATAATTTTTTTGATTTTATAAAGGTAAAGCTTCAACCATTTTTTAGTGCTATACATACATGGTTAAATTATAAATGATCAATTCCAAGCTTGCTATAAGCAAACTTTTGATAGACGAAAATTTTACAATTTAATCTCTGAAAAATACATCTCGAGTTGTAGTTAAGCTTTTGAAGTATACTTAGGTACATAACATAAGCTAGTAATGGATACTATTCAGAGTTACTTTTACAGTGCAACTCAACAACTCTTTCAAAACTGTGATTCTAAGTCTTCGTACTTTCAAGAACCTTCCAATGAAAAAAATGAAATCTAATATAAATATGCCTAAAGCCTCGACTGACTTACCAAAATTGAAAATACTAACAGGGTAAAAGATACTGCAGTATTGAAACTTTATCAAATTAATATCGATGTCTGACTTCCAATTTACAAAATAGTAATAATTCTGGAGGTTGTGCAACTAAAAATTAAATTATTAGTTTGTAACGCAAATGAATGGATTTGTGAGAGATTATCAAGAAGCCGACAGTATTTATAAATAACAAACAATTGTTGACAAGATTTATTTGTGTGCAACGTATACTTTTGCCAGAAATCATGTGCACTGAAGATTATATTCTAGTTAGTATGGATAGATTTATAAGTAATGATTTTAATGGCCATGAAAAAAAGGATAGCAAATAAAATAAAAACTCCGTATTAATTCCAAATTAGTTTTGCCCTTCATGAAGAAATACTATTGTTTCATTCAAATTTTTATAATACTTGTAATCATTACCGTGGGCTGCCATCAAAGAATGATTTTTGAAATTTTCATTAAGACTTTATAAATATGAACATTAATAGGCTTAAATCGTGCAGCTATCAATCTGATTTAAAGCTCGTGAGACTTCCAATCTGAAATAAACATATACTCTTAGCTTAGGACCTTCAATAAACACCGAAGTTTTCTATTTACTTAATTTATTTTTGCCTGTTTCGGACAGTAAAAAGAAAATTTCCAAATATTACAGAAATTATAAAGTTTTTTTAACATAATCTGATGATATTTGAAAAACAATGCTCTTTATGAATACTAATAAAATCCGAAGATTAGAAGAAGCAAGTCAATATCAACAAAACAACCTTAATTTAGCAAAAACGTCTACATTCATTTCCAGTTCATACTCGTCAACAGTCATCCATACTTTCGGTTGCAAACTTTTACGAATGTTCGTATTAGCAATCACTACATCAATACCCCATTTCCTATTTTCAGCTGGTTTTGCGTTCCATAGTCGTGACATATGCTGCTTATTCTGTAAAAAATATTCGCATTGTCATAAATTATAAATTTACAGTTCTGTTTTTGTAAGAAAAGTTCACATACTGTATACTGTATTTATGAGATAAAACAAAATATATTTTTTTAAAATGCAAACCGATTCAGAAAAGTCATTATATTCTAGCAAATGATTAAACTCGTCAAGTTTTGTGGCATTATAGATTCTTCTCAACACTCTGAACAATTTTTCTAAAGACTTTGAATCAACATATTCGTTGCAAGCATCAAATCGGCTTCGATTTAATACACAATGCCATGCTTCTGCACAAAAACATTCTTTAACAAAAATATCAGCGAAGAATTTTTCTTGATGTAAATAGGTATTGAAGGACACAAAAAAGCACTATTTTTAATTTCCACTCCAAGAAAACTACTCAAAAATTAACCTATAGATCGCAATTATTTGAATTTTTTGAAACTGTCACCAAGAAATGAGTTGCAAACAGTGCAAACAATTAAAAGTTGAATTTATTTACGGAAGAAAGAGGGAAAAAAGGGAAATTAATAATAATAATAATAATAATATTATTATTATTATTGTTATTAGTAGCAAATTACAAAAAATCACAGACTTGATTTGAATTATACTAACTGAAACGGACCATTAATAATATCCAAGTTCAGATCAATCAAATCGGTATCGTTGTTCATTTATGCTGTCTTGAATTGTTACTTGAAGCTAAAACTTTCAAGTTTAAAAAAATTGAAAAAAGATAAGCAAAAAAAAGGAAGTTTTTAAAAATTACTTACATTAAGGAACTATTTTCCAGATATCTAAGATAAAACTTGTTCAAAAAATCCAACCAACTGCAAATATTCCCCACTCCATAATAATAAATAATAAAATTCATACCTCATCACCCTCACCTAGCAGAGTTCTCAAAAGTCTGCACAATTTTCTCACCTCTTTAGCAACTTGATCCTGGCACTCACTAACCACTAAACTCAATTTTAGAAAATTAAGACTTTTAATGACATCACTTAGGAGTTTGTTTTCCATTGCTTACAACTGTGTTTGTACTCAATCTGTATTACGTTATTTTCTTTAATCCTTTACGTTATGGGTATGTATTACTTATCGTTTTTTCAATTATTCATTTCTAGCGGTTCTCATTAATGTTGACTCTATTTTTCCGCACTTTTTGCTTGGTGATAGGATATTGGCATTGTTTTGTAGTGGATGAAAGTGTTTGCAGTGAGAAACTTCATGATTCACTTCCCAATGTTTCTCTGCAAGTAGAAATGAATTGTTTCTTTTTTATTGTTGCCGAAGTATGAATGAGTGCTTCGACTCTACAAGTTCAAAAAAGTTTCTCTTTTTTGAATCCTCAAAGAATATCAGAATGCTTTTTCTTTTGCTACGACGTAAAAGTACTCATGTAAATAACTTCGGGAATTATCTGTTTCATGACATTCTTACCAGCAAGATTTTTATAATATGGCACTTTACAGTGTTCGATTAATTGCTTTTTGAGCAGCTGTCGTTTTGATAGAAATTATCACTGTATTATCGCATTTATTCAATATTTTTGGTGAATATGCAATTTATGGAATATATATTTCATTTTTATTGAGTTTGTGATTTAGAGTATTTTTCTATGAAGTGAAGTGAAAGCAATAATTATGGAGGATCAGCGGTGTAATGCAATGTTAATTCCGAAAATTTGCTTGGAACAAACACATGTATTTAATGTGTTCATTGATTTTATGCTCAAGAATCAACCATTTAGAACGTGCTCTCATGCAACCTCTCAGTGGAAAAGCCGAAAATATTGGGTAAAACAAGTGAATGGCAAAAGCGTAATTAATACCGAATTCCTCGTTGAACATTATGGTTAGATCTGATTATTTATGGAAAAATACCTTTTAAGTTACTTTCGTTGCGAAAATTCTCGAGAAATTTAATATTTGCTAGCTTCAAGTCACTCATTAGCGCTGACTGACTTCATTCGCGACATTTGAATCATCATTTTATAAAGCAGTCAATAATAGTTAACTCCGTTAATTCGTTAATATATTTAAAAGCTAAGCTTTGTCATCAAAAAATAAAAGAAAATCGGAATCAAGTATCTTCGATACTTTTCTCGCCCGTTGTATTAGGCAACTGAAATATTTGAGTTCTCAGTTGTTTCTTGTAGTTTTATCATGAAAACCTCTTTTTCATTCAGTACATTATGAATTGTCCTCGCATTAAGAACTGCAAGTTCGATAGTCTATGAATAATATTTTAGTTCAACAAAGTTTGTATGCTCCTTCTTGATAATCTTTAAATAGAGTCATTTCTTTAATATTTCTTTTATCTCTATAGCTTATTTGCTTTTAGCATATTTTATAACAAAGTAATAAACAATGAGTTTCATTCTAAAATATTTCCCGCCACCTTAAAGTTATCTCAAAAATTTTACTATTATAGGACAAATGGAAGTACCGGTCAGGAAAGAAATGCCTCATTGCAGTGCTAAATGTGAAAAAATAAAGCTTAAGGATTATATTCAAAAATTGCGAAAAAATAACGGATCGGACGATGCTGGCTATGTGAAAGACTGGCATTTTCAGCAGTAAATTTTATATTAGGATGAGTACTTTTTTGGTGAAATTTTGCTTGAATTTCAAGTCGTATGGAATCTTCAGAGACTCAGGGACATCATGTGAAATGTATGGTTTACCGTCAGTGTTCCGTTTCGATTGGATAAATAACGAGATATGGTCAAATGATGAGCGCAGTCAACTAGGCGATTACCGTTTTGTTTATTTTGGAGTCGAAAATACATGGTGCCTCACTAGTTTTGCTTTCACTTCAAAGATAATTATGTAACTCAGTTCTGTATTATTTTTGAAGAACAAAATTCATCAAAAATTATACTAGGATATGATAAATGACAGTGGAATTTCATAAATATTCTTTCTTATAAGTTACCTAAGCCTTCCATAAAATATATGTCAGAAAAATTTTTGAATATGAAATCGCTTCATTATTTCACTTAATCAGGAGCTTGTACTGCATAAAAAAACATTTGGCATTTTTTTTTCTGCATGAAACGGATTGTTTTAAGGACTCCATTCCATGCAGATGTAATGAGCTCATTTAGTTGGTCAGCTAATATTTGTGGGCGAAAACTCTGGTATTTTGTAACACCAGGAAAAGAAGAATACTTCAGATTAGACCGTCATAGTTTTTTAAAAGACATTCGAACAGCACGAGACAAATGGTCAGAAGCAGACGTTTTGTCATTTGTGCAAGAAGAAGGCGAGATTTTTTTTGTCCCTTCTAACTGGTATCATCAGGTGCATAACTTGGTCAGTTATTTTTAATATAGAAGACCTAAAACCAAATCTTGTTTTTGTGAAATATTAGAATTTATATTCTTTAAAACCAACCATCAGTGAGTGAATCGAGTTATTTGATTGTGTTCGACATGTGTCTTATCAAGATTAATTATCAGTTATTAAAATACAAGTAGATAAAATTGAATTTATTCAACAGAATTTTCGGTTCAAAACATGAATTCAGCCAGTACCAGAGTATTTCATAATTTTATTGATTTTAGTTGGCAACTAACCATTGATATTTTTATTCATTGAAAATATTAAAACAGAAAAAAAATGAAGTTCCAAATTTAGGAAGATACGATCTCTATCAACCATAATTTTATTAATGCAAGCAATGTTGGCTTGGTTGTTGAATTGATAACTGAACGTTTGAAAGATGTAGACAGAGAACTGACTGACTGCAAAGATTATTTTTCATCAATAGAATACAACAGATATTGCGAAGTAACCAGTTTTACTTATTTTCCTGAGTTATATACGTACATAAAAGTTTTTTGTTAATACTTTCTTCATGAACATTAATGTGATGTACTTTTTATTAGAGTTTTAAAATACCTCATTTTAAACACCAGCTTCATTTATCACAAGATTCCAAAGAACCTCAAATTTAATCAAGAAAAAGTAACCCTCTGTAGAACATACTAGGTTTTTAGAAAAAAGCTTCAGTCATATGATTACAGTTCCACCGCAATTTCAGCAAATATTATCGGCAGACATTCGAGTGAATTTAGCGACGCTCAGTTCATTACTTCATTTAATTTCAAATGATAGGAAAAATGATGTGGATGAGTGCTGGACTTGTCCAAAACATCGATCATTTCTAGACTGCAAAACAGACAACGATTGTTTAGAATCTATGCGACAGTCAAGTCGAAATATTTGTACATGCACACTGGCAAATAATGAAATTTGCTTTGAATGCTCAAATTTTATGAAAAAGATTGAAATTTCTGTTGCTGCCCAGTGTTTGACTCAAATCCGTGGCATCATTGAAAGTAGGGGTTAGATAATGGTATTCAGAATGAAATAATGCTATAAGCAACATGTAATAAAATTTGCTATAGAATGACGAGTAGTAGTTATTCCTCACTGAAAATAGTACACTGTGGGAGCGAAAACTAGAGATGTACATGTTATTCAATAATGCAATGCCATTTGAAGAACCAGTCACGAAAAATGTTTAAGGCTGCACTGTAAAATATTTAGTTATAACTACTTGAAAATGAACAGCTATCAAAATAATCAGTAAAGTCTATAGATTGGTGATAAGAATTTTGATTTTCAAAATCAGAAATGTAGAACAAAAAATTAGATAAGAAAAAATGAAAGATATTTAAAGACGATCATGGAAACAAGTTTATATAAAGTTTTGCTTTTCTTAGCATTTATGTCTAGGTCTTTTATATGAAGTGAATTGAAGATTACGATGTTAATTTGAGCAAAAATTGAGGGTTCCAACGCGAAGCTATGGATTTGTTTATCGATAAAACTTATACTCAGCTAATGTCTTCTTCAGATATCTCGATTACCAATGATGGGAAGACTCACGATGTGTTATTGATAACTGATGTAATAGCACTATCAAGTAACATTCAGGGACTAATTAGGTGCCAGCAATCCAGTAGCACTGAAATTCCTTATAAAATGGTCTGGAAGTTATGCAGAGGATTAAATTCTCGATATTCAGTAAGTTTGAGACGTTTAAGAATGGGCTAAAAAATCTCTAATAATTATACAAACACTTCTGAAAGCTATACAAGATCAAAACTATGACGAACAGTGTTAGTGTGCAATACAACTAACCCATTTGACAGGTTTATGATCGTATTGCGATGCCTTTGAAAGATTTCTATTGAATTTTCCCTACTGCGAGCGCAGACGTGAAGTTATACATACAAATCAATGAGTTTATTCTATATTTTCTTCTCTTCTCTATTCCATGTAATGAAAAAATTTTACCAATACATTCAGTTTGGTATCAGGAGAATTTGATGTTGTGTATAATCTATCTTCAATCAAAATTTAATTTTTCAATTCAAGTGGATAGTCTTTTATTTAAAAACTATTTTTCGTTGAACGTAGGTTTAAAGTAATATATGAAAGATTTTGAAAGATATTAGGCCTTTAAAATTAATCAAATATTATGGAATATTTAATTTAGATTACTTTTCAGATCCCTTAGTTTTTTTGTTGCTCTTTGTGTATCAACATTTTCAATTTAAAAAGCGAAGTCGAACAAGTCGAATGGAAAATGAAAGGAATAATGATGTTGAACCTGTGTATGATCAGGAAACTGGTCTTCTTGAAGTTGGTACTTTTCATTAATATTTTTTTGAAAGGCATCTTAGTTATTTTTATAATATTAGCCCGATAGTTATGTCAGCTTTTTATGTGTATTTCTATCCTAAAATATAAACTTTACTCTTATGCTTTTTTTCTTTCTTTTTTTTGGGGAGAGGGAGGATATTTTTTAGTATTTTATAAAGAATTAGTCTAAAATGCCTTCACTGGGACTATATGGCATTGTAACTGAGTTATTGTTATTATTATTATTACTGAGCTGTTATGATTACTAAATTTTTCATTAAATATTTAGCTATCTAATATTATAGTTAACTTGTGGAAGAAAAATTTAAAATTAGCGATTCGTGAGAACACAGTATCTTCATTCTCTTAGAAAAAAACTTGGGCACTGTTCTTCATTATTCAGATGATGTAATTTCAAATAAATAGACTCTTTTTCATCTATTTTGAAAATGTTAGCTATTTAATTAAGGTGTTGCCTAGTACTGAAAATTGCATCTCCGATTTATCTGGAAAAAATTGTTGAGTAGCCACTGTCATGCCTATTATGCTATTAGTTTTTAGTATATCGAAGCTTGTATATCATCGCCAGCAAGTAGTAAAACGAGAAAAGTGTCAGTAGCAGTAAAAGAAAAACCAGTGCGACGTTGGAAATCTGTAAATTCCCAGTTTTGCAGTTCATGCAAGGTACATATTATTTATAAAGGTTTTTTAAAGTTTATGTTTCAAAAATTTCTCCAAAAATGAATTATATGCTTATCAAACTTATAAACTGAGTGTTAAGGGATTTGTCTGTTAAATTATTGTTTTTAATTTCCATTTCTATGTCGGCTAACTTGTCACACAAAATAATTTGAAGGAAGGCGGAGAATTATTATGCTGTGATCGTTGCCCGGCATCATTTCATTTAATGTGTCATGAACCTCCTATTGAACGAAATTCCATACCAAGTGGAAAATGGTTATGTAATCGTTGTGCACATATGGTGACAAAAGACAATAAAGAAACTAGAAAAACATTGAAAATGGTAATAATAATATTCTCCATTAAATACTCAGACTCTTCTTAATCTCCTTATAATTGGTCAATAATAATTAGAACAGAGTGGTTCAGAAAGAGTATTTATTTTAGTTTGTACGTTTTAATTTGGCACTATTCCGAGGTATTTATTGTTCAGAATTATATGTCAGAGACTACTGCTAGATTTAAAAATTATGACGCTGAATTCAACTTCGCTTGCTGAAGGTTATTCTTGGTCTTTATGTGCAATTTGATAACTTGTTGCAAAAATACATTGATCCTTGACTTTGCTTTAGGGGTAAAAAAATACTTGGTAAAAATACTCTTGTTCTTATTTGTGTTTCACATAAAGTCATTGCAAAATATCTGAAGTGCAATGTTTTCAAGTGTGGCAAACGTTTGGTTCCGTTCAAAATCATTGATTGTATCACATTTTATACATCGCTTTCAGCTAGACTTTCATGATTTAGACATAGTATATATGCTAAAACAAATTAAGTTTTCCATCTTTTACTTAGAACATTATGTGTACTTGCTTTTAATGAACTTTATAATGATTTAGGTCAGCAAATCCTTTCAAACATTGATAAATATGATGTTTATTCTAATGAAGTTAAAGAGAGATAATTTTTATTCATATTTAGTGTTTTTGACAGGATCTTGTTTCTTGCTCACCAGATACATCTCGAAATCTTTCGACAATCTCCAGTATTGTAGAGCAGAATTCAGAGAGTGGCTTAAATGCATTAGCAGTACTTGCAGATGCTGCTTTGGCTGCAAATGCCAAACAGTTCTCTTTACCACACTGCATATCATCTTCAATTCCATCCTTACCTTTCGATGAGCGACTAGCACTTGCACATCCTTCACTACCAACAAAATCACTTTGTCATCTTTGTTCATCGTTCGTTGATTATTTTTTCAGGATGTTGAAGAAATAAAATGAAATGCATTATTTGATTGAGTTCTAGTTTTCAAAAAATGTGATATTATACTTGGTGTGAGGTTTACATAATTCTCAAAAGTATAATTTTAGTATTGCAAAAACACTGTAACAAGAAAGTATAGAGAGTAGGAAAATTCGTAACCTGAGTATTTATTTTAGTGAAAATCAATACAAGCGCTGTTGCATATACATTAGATTCAGATTTCAAAAATATTTTCTTTCCAAATATTCAAGCATGGATTTAGGAGAAACGACGATTCAACCATGATTCAATGTGATTTTTGTGTACTGTGCTATCATCTGGACTGCCTTACACCTCCTCTTCCATCAGTGCCGAAAGATAAATGGATGTGTCCTGCTCATGTGGAACATATTTTGGTTAGATCATGAATATGTAATTGCAGTTTGACTCAAAAATTTGTTTTTTTTTATCTACAAAATTTCCTATTAGGTTTGTATGTTTAACAAATACTAGTGGAGGAGTAGCGAAAATCATAAAAAATTGCGCTTGATTGTTTTCGTCTCCAAATAGTTTTTTTTAATATCAGTTTACGATATTTACTGTTCATATTTGTAATATTAAACTTTTTCAATATTGTGAAAAATATTAAGAGTTTTTGATATTGTTTTTCTGGAATTCATTTATTTTAAAGTGTCTTAGGACCGAAAATTGTCGAGAACACTTTCCTTAAGTACAAGATTACGTGTATGGCGGAAATATGCTAGACAACCTGTTGACGAACATTTGGTCAAAGTTTCATTTCTTAAAAAAGCTTATATGGAGCGTGATATGTCCCCAGAAGCTGAACGAGAAAATAAGGTTCGTTTTTGGATTATTTTTATCTAGTCCATCAAGAGTTTTGTTTCACAAAAATATCATTTACCCTAAATTTCATTTTTAAACATTGATTATCATTTGCAGTTTTCTGTTGTTTTGGTTGGTATTGTTCACCTATATTAATCAAATTTAATATTCTTTCCTCTTATGAAATTCATGAAAAAGTATTGTTTTCTTTAAAATTTGATGTATTTTTTCCAGCTAGTGAGCAAAGATTTTTCCGTTCCGGAGTGCATCAAAAAATTATATCAAAAGCGATGGAAGCAGTTGCAAAAAAGGGAATTTCCAACTGAAAAGGAACAAAATTTATGGTTTGAAGGACTTGTAAGAATGCAAAAAATGCAAGCTAAACTTGATTTATCCGGAGGAAGCAATTCTTATTCACGCGAAAAGCATGGTAAAAGTGTTTTTGAAAAAATGAATTTTGTGCGGGAATCAGCGTCTAAAGAAACACCGAAAATTGAAGTGAAACACCGAATTGAATCGCGGAATGATGTCATATCGCAGTGTTCTAGTTTGGTAACGTCTCACTTTACATTCAGTTCGATGTAATGCTAAGTAAATGTTGTATTCACCTTCTTAAAACAGAATCGATACAATTTTTTGCGCTTTTGTAACAATAATAATTCGCTTTATTTGCTTTACTTGAAGGTATGAATTAAATATGCTTCAGCAAGATTTTGTGGAACCGTCATTTCTCAGGCGCATCCGTCAGAAATCTTTATCACTCATGGAAAATTCGGATAATCTCGAGTATCGTATCATTGGTTCTCTTGCGTATCAAAGACTAGAACAACTGATTTCTAATATGGAGAGCTCTAAAAGTATTCGAGAAGCAAAGTTTGAAAAGGGTGAATACTTCGAGTGATTCATCACTGTTAATTATATTAACTAATATCAGTGTTATACATACGTTCCATCGTGATAAATGCATCTACATAGCAAACATGTCTCGAGCTTACATAGTTTTTCAAATTATTCAATCCTTATTATTTTAATCTTTCTGTTTCAGAAATTCTGCGCGACAACATGCCTGTTTTAGCGGTACTAAAGGCTCCTAATGTAGATGCATATCCTGTTCAAAAAATAAATTCTTTATTAGGTACTGATTCTGTTTGTGATTTCAATCTCAGAAAAGCAGCACCACAATGTCAAGCTATTGCTAAGCGCCACGCTACCTTACTGTTTAACAAAGTAAGTCTCATTGAAATTACTAATGTACAATTAGATTTTTATTTATTTAACTTCAGTCGCCAGCCTTTGTTATTCATATACTACGGTTCATTTAAAAATATTCAAAGAAGTCTTAAAAAGGTAGAATTAATTAAATAATAGTTAAGTTTTCAAACTGTAATTCATATAAAGAATATAAAGTATACATGAACGTGATGAAAACTGACCTTGTATTTTTATTTGGCTGCTTTTCCCTATTTAATTAAAAAAGCGTATTGTTATCAATTGCTGTGTTTTGCTTTAATTGATTTTTTTAATAGGTTTCTCGACGATTTGAATTACTTCTGAAACAGGGTTATCAATTTCGTGTTGACGAAATCACATATAGAAATATTCTTCATTCTACAAATAATGTTGTTTGTGCATGTCTAACCAGTGGCGATATAAACTACAATCATGAAGTCGCATATTTACATCATGGGAGTGTAATTGATATTGGTTGTGTTAGATTGATTTTTGCATCATTTTTTTAGAAAGATTTGTTCAGTACAACAACTAACTAACTGGATGCTTTAAAAAATATCATCAGTTATTAGTGTGATAGTAGGATCAACTTTGTCAGTGACTAGATCAATACAGATAAACTTGTCAATTTACGATTGATAGTTCAAGAAACTAACTATGATTGCTTGATTAAATGAAGATCATACATCAAGGATCAGGCGATTTTTATGACAGAATTATCTGTGTTGATCATCAACTTTTAGCCTTCAAATGCAACATTTGTTTGTACGCCTTTTCAGTTATATTATCTTTGAATCTTCAGTATGTCGCGAAATGTAAAATTTTCTTTTTCATGTTTGAATGTAGGGTTTGTAAAACATTCAAACATTCTGTATTTGATTTCAGAATTCAGTTTTGATTGTATAATGCTCAGTATTCTGTCGTATTTTTTCACAAGTTCATTATCATGAAAAGTAAACTCTAGTCCATTTTTGCTTTCATAAACTTGCTGGCGGACTCCTGGAAATTGGTTGTGCAATTGTATTATTTTATTCTCAAATTATTGTCGGTGCAGTATGACAGTGAAACATTCACGCATATTTCATAAAGAAAAAATTGCTAGATTTGTAGTTTTCTAAATATTCATGCTTCCCATTCTTGTTGAAAAAGCGCTGGAATGCTTTTTGCCTGATGCTAGTGTACGCTTGAAAAATCTTTATCTTTGATTTGATATAATAAACACATCCTTTTACTTTTGGAGTAGGTCAGATAAAATGATATTTTCTCAACTTTTTTTTTTAATTTCATATCATTTCAAATGTTTCTAGTTGCCATAGGGGTTGGTTATTTGAAGGAAAACTTAATTTATTATGTGAAGCAAAAATAGCTACGAGCTAGGTTTTCATGTTTATATATATAACTATCGAAGAAGAATGTCAGTAGCATGAAAACGATATTTTGCTAGGCACTCATAGATCCTAACTAAAGTTTATTGACTAGTACTGCATGTGATGTCAAAAAATATTAACTTTGTTTCATCACTATTTTCTTTCTGTCAGTATTTGAGCGTGTTTGTCAACTGTGGTATGGGTGGTAGTAATATTATAGAATTTCAGAAGTCATATATGTTTTTTGTTGTTGAGGCTATTTTAATGTATTTTGTAAGCAGAAGTTTGAAAAGCAATGAAATAACTCGATAAGTAAGACGAGAGGATTCAATCATCTAGTGTTTCATTTTTGACTGCTTCCAAAATCCAAAAAAATGAAGCTTTCGTTTCTTTTATTTATACTTTATTTGAACTATCACTCATTTTCTTGCTATCCTCATAGACAAGACAAGTAGAAATCATTGTCTGATGTCATTTAGTTCTCTTTATTCTACTTGTGCAATTTTTTTAGCATCAGTTCTTTATAGAACTCATGACTACTTTCATTCATAATTTTGGCTGAAGCGGACGATTAATCAGTTTCAATTGCGTTATAATTCTGGATCACTGCTTGAATGAGTGTTTCTTCCACGTTATCAGACAAGCAAAAAGTCAGTATCTTGCAGTACTTACAAGTACACATGGATCATGTGAAGGATACTTAGCAGTTTTGTAATTGACAAATTATGTAAAGTGTTCAGTCCCGTATGATTCGCTCGAACTCATAATCTACTTTGCATGAAGGTATTATCACCTCTGAAGTTCCAAGGAAAGATGGATTATCTTCTTGTCAGTGATTGGTAACTGATACCAAGCATTAAGTAGTTAGAGACTATGAAGCTTGATTTTCCTTCCTTTATTATATTTATATATTTTCCAGTTTTGAATTTTGGTTTTTGATTACAACTGTGGTTACATGCATATACATGTATTAGTATAAATTAATAAATAAAGGTGAATTAATCACATGAAAGTTGTTTTATGTGCTGTTTTTTTTAATTGAATAATTATTTTGAATCCTTTGTGTGATAATTTTAATGCTATAATAATGTGGAAATGCAATATTCTTTATACATATTTATTCATTACTTATTGTCCAATAAAGTAATGCAAGGAAGGATGTATAAGTAGTTTTTCTTGTTATGTCTATTCGCTTACTTGCATCATTTTTGCTGGCCAAATTTATTTTGATAGAAAAGAAACTAAAAAAGTTAGTTAGTAAAAAGTTTTTGTGAAAATTTGCACAATGGAATTACAGCTAGCTATAGAATGAGTTTGTTGCACTGCGCTCTATCTTTCATTTGAAATTAAATGCATTTTTTTTTTGTACATAATTGTATGTTTTAATTAATATTGTCTCCATTTTTGCCCATATTAGACAATTATTGAAACAATTTTACGAAAAGCATCTTAATAAAAGATTAATATGCGAAATATATGAGTAATAATATTTTAAATAAAATCAAACAAGAAAATAAGTTTTAATTTATTAAATACTTTATTATGATGCTATACATAATATTTATTAATATAAATTTATGAAGGTAAATTGAGCAAATTTTTATGATTTATTTTAATATAACAAGTTTTCATATTCAAATAAATCATAAAATTAACTTTTAGCTTATGTACACTAATAAAATAGCATATTCATGATGTTATGTGTGGTTTGCAAGTATTTTTTAAAATGCTCAGTGAATATGAGGAATTGATATAATTTCAATTTCAAAATGATGCTAAAAGTTGGCATTATTATTTGTAATAATATGAGATTAATAGCAAGTAGAGCAGTTCGAATTTAGCATTGAAAAGAATAGGAAACAAATAAGTTAATAATCTTCAAAAATACTATAGACAGAAAAGTTATAAATGCAAATAAATTTGAGAAAATAATATATTTAATTTTCGTTGTGCGAAGTGAAGAAAAGTTATAAGCAAGATTAGGCAGATTTTCTCGTCATGGAAACAGTGCAATTTAGTGGTGTAATTTAAAAGAACATTACTTTCAATTAGCACTCAAACTCAAACTTTTGCATTAACTACCAGAAATGCTAACGAGATAGGTAAGAGTTAGTTCATAGAATTATTTGGATAAGTTAGAAGTATTAAGTATGTACTTATTACAAATTATTGATAATTCATTACCAATATATTATACAATACTAAATTTTTCTATCATTTAAACAATGAAAATCGTTTACTGCTAAGGAATTTCCTTTTTTATCAAAAGTTTTTGCATCATTTCTTCAAGTAATTAATTCTACTTTTAATGAACAAAAAATTACTAATAGATAAATTAATTTTCTTATTTTTGTGAAATGTTTTATTTAACACATTTTGTTGTGCAATAGAAGTTATTGGTAGCTTATTGGTGATATATGGATGGTGCTTACTGGTAGTATATTGACGATTTTTGTGCCATGTATTGATGATTTAGTGAAGGTTTTTTTTGATGGTACTTTATATATGTGATAGTTTAATTTCTATTTGTATTTATAAAATGTAATTTATTTATGGTTTTCATCTTCATTTATTCGTAATTTGTTACTTAATGAAGTTGTTGCTTCATTTTCATTTTAGAGATTTTTTTTTCTATAAACAAGCTAAT